TTGTGTTTACTTTTTTTTTTTTTTTTTTTTTTTTTTTTTTTTTTTTTTTGGTACTGGGGATCGAACTCTGGTCCTTGAGCTTACAAGGCAGGCAGTGGAACCACTGAGCTAAATCCCCGGCCCTCACTCTGTTTCTCTGATATGGGACTTCATTGCTATAAATTCCCCTAATAGTTCTGCTTTCAGGGTGTACTGTAAGTTCTGGTATGTTGTATTGGCATCGTACAATTGTGGAAACTCCTAATTTCTTCTTTAATTTCCTCTGTGACCCACTGGTTGTTCAGGAGGATGTTATTTTATTTCCATGCATTTATGGAGTTCTTGTGGTTTCTTTTGCTGTTGATTTCCAATTTAATTGCACTATGGTCTCATAGCGTGCATAGGATAATTTCAATTCCTTTGCATTTACTTAAGAATGTTCTATGAGCTAGTATGTGGTCTATTTTGGAGAACATTCTATGTGCAGCTGAGAAGAATGTATATTCTGATATTTTGAAATGGAACACTGTAGAAATGTACTAAGTTCATTTGTTCAAAATTTTGGTTCAGTTCTGATATTTCTTTGTTGATTTTTTTGTCTAGTTTATCTATTTGTGACAGTGGGGTATTGAGCTCCTCATTACACTTATTTATGTTAGTGCTTATTTGACTTCCCATATCCATTAATATTTGTTTTACATATTGATTGTGCTGGTATTTGTGCATATACAACTATGATTGGTGTCTTGCATTGTTCCATTTGCAAGGGTGCAGTGACCTTCTTTGTCCCCCTTGATCAGTCCTGCCTTGAAATCTACACTGTCTGCATTAGATTAGCTATTCCTGCTTTTTTTCCGTTTCCTGCTGCATGGGGTTTTCCATCCTTTTACTTGCAGTCTATGAATTTCTTTTTGAATTAGATGTGTTTCTTGTATGCAGCGTATTGTTGGATCTTGCTTCTTGATACATTTTGTCAATTTGTTTCCTTTGGTTGGTGACTTGAGAACATTTACATTGCTGGTTAGAGCAGATGTGTACAGACATCCCTATCATGTTATTTTCCTTATTTATTATTTTATTTTTAGTTTTTGTTTTTTCAGTACCAGGGATCAAACTCGGGTCCTCACACTTGCAAGGCAGGCAGCAGGACTACTGAGCTAAATCACC